TCTTTTTACCCAGTATGCAAGAATTTAATCTCCCCGTCAGTGAAAAATGCGGAAAATCTAAGAAATAGCTATATTTGCACGGTGTCCAGAAACGGTGGATCAAATAGGTACACCCTTTTGAGTATTTTTATCGGTTCCTTGCTTTTCTGGATTATTGGTTATAAAACAAAATATTTTGAGAATAGTTCCGGGAATTTTTGAAGTATGTAAAACAAAAATCTTTATTAAAAGAACAAATTGGCTTGTTCTTCCAAATTAACTCAAAAACTCGAATAAAAAATTTTGATTTTTCTTCATGTTCTCAAAGGCTATTTGTAAAGTTCACTAAAACTTTTACTTCGGAAAAATTCTACTTTCTTCTTTATCTACTGATGAATTAAATGTTTTATTTATTGTTAATGCGAAGAGCAACTAACTCTAATTTGTTCATCCAGACTTGTCGTTGCCTTACAGAGCTTTTCTTTTAATCACCGTATTTGGATTAGAAGTGTCTGAACTGATTTCAAGTAATTAAGAAACATATCTCTAAAAGCGATGACTGTTCCAACAAACTATTTATTAACTTCAATGCTACTAAATGCAGTTTAAGTACATCAAACATTCGTATCATTTTTATCTCTATTTAAATAAAGACCGAATAAATACATAAATAATGGACTTTGCATAAGTCAACCGCAATCCCCATAAAAGTATGCTAACAAAACCATTTATTTTGAAGAAATTTTAAAGTGAACTAAAAGAATATGACTTAGTTACTATCAGAGCCCAATAACCCACAAATTGGATGAAATATGTATACCATATTTCCACATTAACAAAAGTGGGTAACTTAAACAAAAAAATTGAAAATGAATTAAATAAATATTTTTCTGTCTTTGGTATCACCAAAGAGCCTAAAGTATCTCCCTTTGCGTGCACTACCTTCAAAACAACGCGATTTTGTTAAAATCCCCAAGTGACAAATCATTCTGAGAACAGTTCAGGACATTCAGTTCATATCTTCAGTTCAGAGAGTTCAGAACATATCTCCAAAAATTTAATTCCGTTTAATAAAAAACCTATAAAAACGGCAAACTAAGTTTTTTCAAATGATCTCAAAACATGATATTTAATCTAAAATAACCGAAATCATGACTTCAGAAAATTAAATACTTGCTATTTTTATCTACTGATGAATTAAATGTGTGTTTTTTAACAAAAACATTGTCATTGCGAGAAGCAACTAATTCTAAATTGTTTTCTGCTGTTCACTGCCTCGCGGTTCTTTTAATCACAGCATTTTGATTATTATTATCTCGAACCAATCTGAAGTTAATTAAGAGAGGTCTGTCTGTAAAGGCAATGGAAGCCTGAATAAACCGTTTAACTTCAATGCGACTAAATGAAATTTAAGTACATCATACGTTGGTATCACTTGTGGGATAATGAATTGGAAAATAGAATAGTAAATTTAAATAAATGCTGAATAAATACATAAATAATGACCTTTGCGTAAAAGCCCGTTTACACGTTCAAGCCATCTGAACGATTTGGCTTGCGCAAGCCAGATCTGTGCAGATGAACTGAACGAAAATCTGGCGTTTACACGTTCAGTTCGTTTTACACAGATGTGAAGGAAGAGCACCCAAACGTGCATTGTTGCCGACAAGATGGAACATTTGGGCGAAGAGTTAATTCTTGCAACGGCTGCAGTGTGTGTAATTAAAAAAAAGATGAACTTAAAAACTAGGAAGGAAATGGTGTAAACCCTGGTTGCTGAATAGGAATTTCTTGTCTCATACGAATTTAATAGCGGAATTACGCAATGATTCTGACGATTTTCGTAATTACTTACGTATGGACGAAACCACATACCTGCATTTGCTAAGCTTAATAACGCCAATGATTTCGAGAGCAGACACCGTTATGAGACGTGCGATTACCCCCCACGAACGATTATCCGCGACACTCAGATTTTTGGCAACAAGAAGAAGCTACGAAGACTTAAAATTTT